GGGAGAATCTCTTGACTGTGGCACTGACGCCAGCAAATGAGCCAAACAAAAACGAGCAACAATTGCTGCAGCCTCTCCAACAGCGACAGTGATAGGCCTAAGGAAGTGTCTGGGTCTTACTCATGCCCTTTCTACATACATACACACACCACCTTATAATACACATGCACTATCCTAAACCTGCATATCATGTGTCTACATTGTCTACATGTCTCCACACCACAAATGTCTTCCCAAACCGGATATAATAGATGCAGTAATATATATAATATATATATATATTATATATTATAGCCATCAAAACATCAACTCGTTGTAGGCTTCTAGAAAGCCAAACACATCTTTCACAGCTTCACCTCCGATGCACGGCACGCGCCCCGCCTGGCGCCCTCACGCCCTCACGAACGGCCGCCGCCCGTGCCCGAAGCCACGCCCCTTTCAGGCTAAGCCGTGTGAAGCTGAGCCGAAATGGCGGGCGTCCGTGTGGTGAGGACGTGTGTATTGTTGTGTGATGTATATAATCCAATATAATGCTCATATGATATTCATATGATGTATTATTGTGTTTTATTATGATGACGTGGAGGAGCTGGACCTTTGCATCAAAGGAACCATCCAAAGACCGAACGTCTGTAGCGGGGGCTTCCACGGGGTCGCTTTTTTTCGTCCATGTTCAGGTAAGCCAGAGTGTATACGCTCCAGTTTGGGGAGGTATTTCAATGAACGTCCACATAAAAGAAAATATCCGTCCTTATCATAGCCTACTTTAGCAGAAAGCTATAACTGTTTTCTACCAGGCCTCATGACATCCATGTCGACTAGCCTGATTGGCCACAGTCAAAACACAACGTACCTTTTCAAACCCTATTGGCCAACAAAGGGTGGGAGGAGATTTGACCATGCAAAGTTGCAAGGATTCTACCCGGAAAGGTTTGTCCAGTACTAAGTCACTAAGTACTATCGCTATCTATGGCTATGGCACACCTGCAAGCAACCAGCCCCTTTTGTCCACAAACCCATCCCGTGGGAGTGAGTTCGACAAAAAGAGCTACCGAACTTCCATGGTTCTGGGTGTACCTGAACAGGGGTGCTTTACAGCCACCGTGATGCAGTGGAGAAGCCATCCGAACAAAACAGTAAACAAAGTCACTTCCAGAATTCCAGCTTCAGCATCGAAGAGTCCTCATTCCCCCAGGGGGTTAATGCCAATTGCCACCCACAACCTCAGTCCTCTTCTTGCGCCACCAACGGCAAACAAAGCAGCAAAAAAAACATCACCTCCATCGCTCGGGCCATTTTGGTCTCTGATAATGCCCTCACGAGCTGTCGCTGTGTTCGTCCGCGCCTGAAAGCACTCGTCCAGCAGTGTGAGTGATCCCGCGAAAACCGGCACCGTCCGAGGCAAACAAACCAACACACCCGCAAACTTCCCAAAGGTGGATAGAACATGATACGTCAAACGGGTGCTAATGTTGTATGTTACAATACCACTGGGGGTCCTGCTCGGGACTTCAACGGGGCCAATCATGGCTTTCCGACCTACCAAAGAATTCCGAAGAAGGAAAACATGACCTTCCAAGGAATTATCATCATGACATTCCGATTCGGACCACTCATGATCCTCCTCCTCACTCGGTTCAACACGCTCAACAAACCTCTAAGACATGCGACAGCATGCGATCAACTGTCACGCCGCATTCGCAGAATGATTGACAAAAGGAAACACATGTTACATGTTAATATGGCTCATCATGCCGGATCATCCCCGATTCCTTAGTTTGGACGCATTTTGATCACCCAAACGAATCTGAAACCAGCATTCTCACTGGACTTGGATGGAATATGATGGAAAGAACCGGTTTCGTTTGGCGCCGCCTTCGCCGGCGTCTGCTTCCTTGCTTGCCTGAATGAAGCTTCGGGCACATGACAAAACCGTCATGGCTCAAACCAAGCCAAACACTAGGTGGCAATCAGCGAGAAGGATCTACATTAATAAACCTACCATTAATTAAGCACAAAGCATTTCGATGTCATGTTGTTGTGGGCTGTTCTTCCACTTGCAAGGGAAAGTAGGCCCACTAGGCAATGTCCCGTCTGAGCGGGTGTTGCTACCTTGTGGGGAAGGAAGCAGCACAAAGCTAGGTTGCCACCCAACGCTCAACTGCACGAGATGTGCAAATACAGCGAAATTGGAACCATCCAAAACCAGGGGACTGGATCTCACATCGAAGCAAGTTTCTATCAGCGATGCTTTTTGATGCTTTTGCACATTTGGGACCTCAAGAACGTTGGTGCAAGAAGCATTCATTAGGCCAAACCTGCAGATTACGAATGGGTATGATCACATTATGACCATAACCATACAACATTAATTTTTAGCTTAATTACACCTATACATACAAACGTCCTATTTACAGGGCTCAGATATGCTCAGATGTTCCTAGAGGATGGAGGAAGCCATCTTCGAGAAAGTATGGGTTGGTATGCAATCGTGATTCAAGGAGAGTATAGTGATGGATCTTTGTTTCCGCGCATAATGCAAACATTATGTAGACTCCAATGTAGACTCTTGATTAATTATGTTTCACCCCCCATTTGAATTGGAAAATCCTCTTCAGGCCTCAAAGGTGAAATATCAAGAGTCCACATTGATCACCCAAGACTTCTCCCATCTGAGGATGTTCAAACATCTCCCCATCAGCTGGGCTGAACATCATCTCGGCTCCCAAACCAAATGAAGTCAGCAAACACAACCCTCAAAATCACATGAAGGTCCCGAATCCGCTGCCAAGAAGTCATCCTAATAGATCCGAATAGTGGTATCTATTTCTTCATGTTTTGGGGGGGGGTACATAGGTTGTATACAGGTTGTATACACATGTATGCACTGGGGAGCACACGTACGCACGCAATCTGCTTAGCCGCACCCGCCTGCGGCTCGGGCTCGTCGTCCTTAGGACCTTCCGTGCCTTCGGCCTCGCCTGGGAGAACAGGTCGACAGCCTTCTGAGTTGAACTTCGTTCGTGACCTGCTGTGGGGAATTTGACGAGTTCAAACCATGTTGTTGTTTTTTTTGTGGTTGGGGTTCGCTGGGTCCTGGTAAAGTTTTTGGCCAACACGCGCAACTGTATGAAGGAGAAACTCACACAGGATTTGACACATACATGTTGAAAGCAAATATTTTGCAGCCTCTTCAGGCGAAGTCGGAAGGAAACAAACAGAACAAGAAGCACATCTTGGATTTGCTTAATCAAGGAACTGGGAACAATAGAAAATACAAATTCCAGCATATTCCCCAGAAGGGGATTCACCCATGTAGGCAACAAAATCACCCGATCTGCACAGCACGAGCCTTTGGTGTCGCCATTGGTCTCGGCCGCAGCCGCCGCCTTGCGGATTGTGCCCAGGGTGTGACAGTTGAGACGTGCAGATCGTGCGCATCAAACAGACTTCCAGCGTCTTGGAAAAGAATATACGGTATATGTACCTGGCTTGTACCTGGTTTGCCTCCCATATACCGTGAAGAAAGCGTGTTAGAGCGGCATGCTATAATATACGCCATCCTCAGTTAGAGGCCGCATCCTAGCTTCGACCCAGGGCAATGGACCTTTTCATGCCAAACCCCCAAAAGACGTAGGACGTGGGCCTGTTGCAAAGCATGCAAAGTCTCCGGCGGTTTTCTATAAGATCCTAATACCTATAACAGTGGATGATGATGGTTCAGTTGCAGGCCTTCTTCAAAGATAGTAAGTTAGTTTACTGACTGTTACAGGTCAGAACGGACAAACCCAACATCTACCTATAAATCACCAAGAATTGGCATCGAAAACAGGCACGACCAGTTGCCGCGATCGGAACAGCTTGCCTCGCTTGGACCATGCGCCCCCTGTCTCCCCGGGTGCCGGCCGATGTCCACCTCGACGTACTTCAACTGCATCTTGAGGGCAGAAATCTTGCTCTTAATACCCTTGCGGGTGGCTTCTAACCTGCAGTTCTCAAAAAAGAAACATGGATCAATCGATGACGGGCTGGAACTCCTGAGCAAGGACTCATGACATATTCAGAACAGTTCAGAACCCCCCCATAGAAAGCAGGAAAGGTCCTGCACACACCCCTCTTTTGCCCTGCACCCACAAGGAACGACAAGTAACAATCAGGCAAAAATAACCACCGTGAACCATACATCTTCTTCAAAATTACAGTGGCAACATCAGTAGCAGTATATAGAGGTAGTAAGCCCTGAGGGATCCTGAGGAGGTACCTTTTAATCCACCTCTAATCAATTCTAATCATGCAGCTATACGCTCTTTAAAAGTCATAGAGCGCTTCTGAAAGATCTATCATGATCTATCAGTATGCGCCTAGTAATCAAGCCTCGCTCGCCTCGTGACACTTCCATTTCAATCATGTCTGACAGGCCTGGAAAGCAGTCATCCGAGACATAGGCTACCCCTGCGTTACCTTGTCATCTCCCCCTCCACCGCATCCCAGGGACTGCTTCTCCGTGTCGCGCGTATGCTTCGCCGGCAGGAAGAAGATCGGAGGTTGAACCTTGGTGGAGCTTGTCATAGCTTAATGAAGCGATCCAGAATACATGCAACAATACGCATGTCATGTCAGATTTAAGCTATACAAGCCTACTGGAAGTTCAGTCAGTTTGATGCCCCACAGGCAGAGTGCCAAAATGGTGGAAAACTATTGACCTACTACAGCAGAAACCTTATCGCAACACAACTCCCAAAAAAACTGCAACCTACTCCCGTCCCCAAGAATGGCAGGATTGAAACTCCAGATTCCAAACCAACCCCTGACAGCATTTCCTCCCGGTGTCATGGTTTCTGAAGGCCTCAGTGCGGATGAAGTTCATCATCAGCGAGTAGTGGTTCCTCATTCGCAGGTGGCAGTTCGCCAGGTTGGCCACCGGAGTGACTCAAGCACAACCACTGCAGTGGTTTCAGAGTAACAATCCCCAAAAGCTGGTTTATAAGGACCCGATATAAAAGACATCTTTGGGTTTGTGCCATCTACTCTGAAACCACTGTAAAGCCAGCAACCAGTCTTGGCATGTCTTGGCTAGCTGGATGATCTAGCTAGCCAAACGCCGTCTAAGTGGTGCAACCGATCAGGAACAGGCCTCAAGCCTGAGGTGACCCGCATCCGCACACGTACCCCTAGGTAGGTCTTAGGTGACCGATCGGACTCCCCCACGACAGGAGGCCTTCCCCAGTGGCTGTCACCCATCCGACACAGTGGCTGGCCACTTGTGGTCTTCTCTGGCTCCCATCTGGCGCTCTTCAGCTGACTCTTCGTGTCATCCGGACTTCTGCGCGATGCTACACAGTGTTTGGTACCCTATTACAAAAGATCCTGAGCTTTTGACGTGCTCCCATTGGTGGCTTCTGCGTTGCTTTCAGGCTTTTTTTTCGGGAGCTCCTCTCATTTCTTAAACTCGCGTCCGTTATGACTTCGATAAGTGACAATGAGTGACCCCCCCAAGTCAGAGATGCCCCAAGACTCACAAACACTGACGTACCTACCTGGACCTTCAAGGGTGTTTAATGGAGATCCCTTGAAGGTAGTGTAGGGGCTTTCGGTGACCCCCTTTAAACAACACCCAATCATACACCAAGCTGCTCTAAGCGCCTCTGCAGCAAAAGGACTTCCTTTTGCTCGATTTGTTTCTCGATTTCAGAGACCTCCATCGAGTCCATCCGAGGCGACCCCATGGACTCCATCTGTGGGTTCGGTTCATCGTTCAGCGGTTTCGTGGCTTTTCAGCGGTTTCCAGGCTCAACTGGATGGCTCGACCAGCAATGTCCAGTCCTATGCCAGAACTAAACAATCCAAGTGGCTTTTAAGGTCCCGGATTGTTGGTTGCTTCTTGTCCAGTCCTATGAATGCCCTTGAAAGGTCGAGGATTAAGACGACATGCCTACCATTAGTGATTGGGTTGTTTGTTCTTTTTGTTTCTTTGTTTGGTTGGTTGGTGGATGGATCCTCCAAGGAATATGCAGACCCGATGGGTTCTGTTTTCCGTCTGAGGCCGCTCTCCAACTGAGACATCGTTTCATATGCTCTTTCACCGGAACTGGGGGCTAGGTCCCAGCAAAAAAGAGGCAATCCTTTATTCTTTGCTCGGCCCCCTCTGGAAATTTACAGCCTCGAACCCTTACCCGATGCCTACTTCTGCACCACCCTGAGATCTCCAAGCCTTTGCATGCTCCTCTTGCAACTGTTTATCAAACCTGAGCGTCAAGTGGGCCACTTGCATCCCCCCGCTGTAGCACCGTGGGACCTGACCATGCCCAGGTGATAAACCGCTACACAGCGACCTACTTGACACAGCTGGTTCAAGGTGCTTGTAGACCATTCTGGGGTAGCAAAAAGCATGTTCATTCTCGGGTCTTGGTGCTCCCAATCAGGTGATATAGAAACCGCCTTTGAAGGTTTCACCAACCTTGTTATTACCATGGGAGTGACCTATGTAGCAAGGGAGCTAATTGGACAAGTCCTCCTTGCAAACCACGGCTGCTATGCACATGAGAGGTACAGCAAGGCTGATGTCTTATGGAATTTTATGTTTCTTTGAACCCGTGCTGACTCAACTTCTTAGCCAAATCAATCAAACATTTGCCACGTTCCAGCGTTCCCTGAGCTTCTCAGATCCAAGCACGAGAGCACGAGAGAAGGCAGCGTATAATGTGCAGCCAGAAGGCTCTCCTTTTCTAAACTCCTTGATGTTCATTCTGCTCAGATTCACCTTCTCCTCTACTCTGCTTAAAGCCTTCGACTGCAGCTGCCCCATCTTACTGGTCTTTTCTTTCTGCAGCCTTCAGAGGTCATGAGTCAGTGCGATTCCCATCTCAACTCTTCTGCCCAGAAACAGCTTATTAGCATTGCTTGACAACAAACCGCAAAAAAAAACATAGAAACACAAAATACGCAGCTGATTGCCACTTGTTACACACTTGATTGTTATCCGGCGCCTGTCTTTGGCAGAGTGCAGGTGACCCAGAAGCTTCCCGAAGAGATTTCGACTTCGTGGGTCAGTCTTTGTGGGCCGACCTTCTTTCTTTCGCTTTTCCTAAGACAAATGAGACAGGTAGGGCCTTGGACCAGGCGCCTGGTAGGTCTGGGGACACCCATGGCATGAGAAGGACTGGATCTGCGCAGAAGCAAACCTCAAAAGCCCCTCTGCACCGCCTCCAGTTGTCTGGGATTTTACCTAATTAACATCCGCAGTTCGCAGTGGTTTAGAACGTCATGATCTTAGGATATTCTCCAACAAGTGCCGTGACAGCATGACAAAGGCTCCCAGCAACTGGCGCATTTGTGTGTGTGTGTGTGCGTGTGGCCGATGCTCTAACCATGCCCTTTGTGAAGGGTGGGCAATTTCCACAAACACACACTGTTGTTGAATACCCACACGATCCAAACATACCTATGGCTCAAGAATAGGGTTCCCAAACCCCTGCCTAATCAATCTAAAAGATTGCTTGCAGTTCCCTGGCAACGTTCTGTTCCGATTGAATGGCCCCCCCCCCCATTCCCTGCCACACAGTTTCCAGCTCTTCGTCCCTCTTCCGCTTCCGGCTTTCACCCTCTCCTTGCTCCTTCTCCTCGCCTCAGATCACGTGCCAGCCAGGTGCAGGAGGAAAACACATGAACAAAACATCAGCTCCAACCTACTAGCGATGGCCTCCAGGGAGCTGACTCTGCTGGACTCATCTCATATCTCACCCTACTGAACATTCACTCCATTCCAGGTCTGTGAGGCCCAAGACCCTGAGCCTCTCTAGACTCTAGAGACTCTATAGACACTCTAGACCTTGACAAGAGCGAATCCAGGTCAAGAAGAAACACTCATAAGACAATCCAGGTCTCCATCTTCCTTGTCCTTCTCCTTCTCCTCTTTCTCATCCTTCTTCTCATCTTTTTCACCATCCTCCTCCTGTGGCCGCCCGGAACAGTCTGCCATGCTATGAAGCTAGAAAAAAGAAAAGCTGATGTGGATTTTCTTGGTGGTTCTGTCATACATGAACTGTGGTCATCCTTATGTGTGATCTCAACAGCTGGATTAACAAAAATATCTTGAACGTGTGATTGGAGTTCCTGCTCGGCACCAGCAGCTAGCACTCATATGATGTAGGTACATGTCACAGAGCCTAATGCAGTGTTATCCGAAACACACATCCGGGCCAAAGGTGATTCAACAATCATTCATGAACCGAAAGGTTCTCTTCACAGTGCAAAGTAGGCCCACCGAGGTAGGCAACAAACTACCAGACTCCCTCTGAGCCTTGATGTGATTGAATCCATAATCTCAGAAGCATATTTCAAACCAAACATGAAAGCGCACCGTGTATCTTTTACAAACATCAGCCTTTACAAAGAGTTCTCCCATCCATGAGTCCATGAGTGTCAATTTCCCCCATCGAAGCGCCCGTGTGAAAAAGAAGACCTCTCCTTCTCATCTTTGGCTTCATCTTTGTCCTGACTATGAAGGGCCATCAATTTCGACCGCTCTTCTTCACCTCAAGTTGATGGCATTGGTGGATTGATGTGAAGAGTGTGCTGTTCTTATAAGACGCCAGGGGCAGCCTCAACACACATGGAAAAAACAACACGATCCTTATGAAAGCTAGGGCTAGGGTCTTAAGAATGGATACGGATACGCAACATCTTACTATCCCGGGAATGGCGGATACACTTGAGGACCTGTGGGGACATCAAGCGTGGCGCAGGACTTTCCGGATATTGTCAATCCACTCTATGAGCAGTATTTCCCTGGTGTTTATAGTCAAAGGCTGTCGAAGGTCTTAACTTAATCACCTTCATCTGATCAAAAACAACTAGATATGCTGGTGGAAACCGCTGCTGTATGATGTTGTAATATACATGCAACGTTTGATGGGAACGCCTTTGACCGCCCAAAACGGGCGAAAGAAAACAAAATAAACAACAAAAAACGCGGGTGACCTCGCCGTGACCGTCATGACCGTCGGCTTTCCTGGGGCTCCCGTCTACCAAAGATGCGCTTCTGGGTCGCCTCCATGCGCCGGATGTTGTCATCGATCTTCACCTTGGATGCAAGCGGAGCGGATGTTGTTTTCAAACGTTGGAAGACGCTGGTGCACCTGTTTGGGTGACGGGTGTGGCGCAGGTACCCCAACAAAAATCATTTACTGTATATGAATGGAGAGGAAAACAAGAAGAGTTCTATCCAGGAGTTTGTCAAAGTCAACCCAAAACACATCCCAAAAAAAACACGCGGCAACCAACGAGCGAGACGACAGGCCTTGTCTCTGCGGAGCTCTTGCAACTGGCGCTCCAGTTCCCGCCGAGAGAGCTCATTGCCATCTGACCTCGGTGGCGTTTCAGTTCTCCGTGTCTGTCTGGGTGAGGCTCCGGGGGGGCAGGACCCAAAAGGAGCTGTGGAACCTTGGCTTTTCACACTACGAACAGAGCAAAGGGCATCGCTACGAACGGAACAAGAACGCTATGTTCGGGGCTCCTGGCATCGCTACTAGGAGGAAGCTACTAGGGACCTTGGAACCTTGTTTCTTTCCGCCGAGAGGTTGTCTGCCGGGTTCATGTCCTGATTCGATGGTTGGCGGTGAATCTGGCTTAGTTGAATATCGCACTGCCATGCCCTACTGCCCTACCTTGAGAATAAAAATTCACATGTCACATGTGATACAGATTTAAAGTAAGTTCAAGTAGATAAAGCAATCCTAGCAGAGTTCCTAGCAGTTGGTAGACTCAAAACATGTCCAAGAATCCACCCAAAAACGCATATTGCTCGAGGGCATCTTTTGCACCTAATGAGTCCAAAGCTAAACTTACAGTAAATGCCTTACTGAACCAGTGACAACGGCCGCCCAGGCTGCCCGGCATGGTGCCCGTGCGCCGGGGGGGATCCTGGAGGCGCCACGAAGAAGAACCTCTGGTTTCCTGCGTTTGGGGGCAGCCTAGTATTCTTTCGAAATTGGCTAGGGAACTTTCCTTTCTCTCAGGAACCAAATGAATTCATTTCTATGGGGATGATGTTATACAAGTTTGTGTGAGCCATCGACAGCATGTTGGTAGATCATGGTAGATCGTCATTGTCCATTAGCTGAATTAGCAAGTGGTAGTGCACCCCTATCACGAAATTGAATAGTGCGGTGCACCTCTTCAATCCCAAGACCCACCAACGCGGTGACCAGCAGGCCGGTCGTGAGGCTCATCTTCATACAACTCGATGATCATCGACGTCTACACCATGCGACACCCACACTCTGGAAGAGGAGCCTCCTACACTTCATGGAACTAGGCAAGGCGCCTGGCCTTCAGTATTCCTCGGATCGATACAGCCTCGTTGTCTCATGTTGTCCCTCTGCTTCGTTTGTCGCTGGTGTGACTGGTGTGTCCTCATTTGATTCCTCCACCCGCTTTCAAATCGGAAAGAATATCTATGTTCAACTGCAGCAAACTTCTCAAAACCCCGATGCTCTCAGCCCAGAAGCCCAGAAGTGTCAATCTGCTTTTTTGCAGCTTCAACATGCTTCGACCGTTTTCAGGTAGATTCCTTTTTAGGTGCATCGACATGCGCGAACCGGCCAAGAAGCTCCATGGTCCATCCCTTGCGCCTCGCGCCGAGCGTTAGGCGCCGGCGCCAGCCGAGTATCCCCCGCACTCTCTACTTCCCCTTGAGCCAACGCATCAGTTCACATCTATAGTCTATATGCACTTATAGGATTCGAGAGTAAGGTTTTCCTTTGAATCATTGCCTCTTCATCTAAACAAAGAGCATTTATACTGGAGACTGGTTGCCCCACTCAAAACGAACCCCAAAAATGTGTGCAATGCGACGTGAAGATTTCAGTCGACGGTAAAGGCTATTAAAGCAGCTATTTTTGGAGACCCTTCCTGGATCGGCAAAAGAACATCAAATAACTGGCACCCAGGTGGGCCAGCACTTGGTGCCCCAAGAAGTGCGGATTCTATACTGTTGTGATCCGTGTTGCTGCTGCGTGCATGCCTATATATGCCTATTATATTGGGGGGAAGGGGATGCCCAGAACATCCACTCAGTGGATCCGGACTCAAAAACTCTTCCTTTTCAACTACTGGGCGCACAACCTCCGATGAGGCTTCTTTAGGGCACCCTCTTTCCTTCCTGTACATCACCGATTGAGAACATCGCCGTGACCGTGACGCCACGTGCACCGTGAGCGCGACGTCTCTTCCAAGCTGTTCGGGTGCTCCCCATGGTCGCTCCCCGCTCCGCTCCGGACTCCCAAGGTGTCCCGGAGCCTCGGTCGCTCCCGTGGTCGCCCCCTATAGGGATCCAAGTATATATATATATATATATCTTCTCAGGTACCGTGAGGAAGGAGACACTGTGATGTAGGTGCCAGGAGGGTCCAGTCGTACCTTCTGACCATGTATTTGGATCCCGTTGTCGCACACCGTTTTGATCCCCTCGATCTGCTCGCTCCCGGAGGCCGTCGCTAGGTGCAGCGTGGCCAGTGCAGCGAGATGCTGCGCGTTGGGCGCGCTGAGAGAACAGACCGTCCTGGGCGCTGAGGGGTTCAACCGAACGTGTCAGTCTGAACGGAGACCCCGGATAGACCAAGTTGACACGCCTCTTGATCAGCTCATATCATGGTATATCACACTACCAGTCATAGGGCATAGGGGACGATGATGGTTAGAATGGTTGGAAAGATCGACCTTCACCCAAAAGAGTGATAAATATAGTACATTGATCATCATTCAGAATAATTCATCATCTTTTATCACTCTTTTGTGGGCTTACTGGGGCACACCCAGCCAGTTGATCCATCATGTTGATCGGTGCCAAGAAAACTCGGACTGGCTACTCGCTCGTGTGCCTGACTGGGCAGGATGCAGTACACATCTTCAGTTACAGTTCGCACTTCGATAAGTCCCCCCCCAAACCCATACAAAACGACGCAAACAATAGCATGTTAAACGAGTTTTCCATCACAGAACCTGCTGGAAACCACCTTGTCCTCATGTAAAACCACAACCCTCTCAGCAAGGACCCCCAAAAGGCCGCGCCTGCCCGAGACGGGCTCCACGATCCGCAAGGCGCTTTCCGCTCGTTCGATGGCCGCCAAGGCCGCGGTCCCATCTCGCAGGTCGACCTCTTTGGGCGTGGCGTCTGCGAGCCATGTCAGCCAGCCTGGCGCTTCTGCCGGCCCCCCCCAAAGAAAGTCACAAGACGCCTATATATAGTAAGTAATGTAAGTATACTGAAATTTGTATCAATATAGAAATATATAGAAATACTTGAAATAGGTCAACATCGGGTGTTCTCAATGAGATGCTCCAACTTAGACTTATACACAATTGGATCTGATCCCTAAGATTCATCACACATCATCAAACAGATTCCAGTTGGACCTCTTCGGATGAGATCTATATATAACTGATCTGACCTCGAATCTATCGCGCTTACACTCAATGTCACCCGAGCTCATGGGTGTCTGAATTGCAACTTAAACAATGAACAAAGCAGTTCCAAACGGATGCTTAATTTTTTCAGGAGGGGCTCCACAATATCCACATACCCACTCACATCCACTCACTATCGCTTATCATGGGGACTGAAAGCCACTCCTGAAACTGCTGCCCGGGGGCTCCAAGTGGCATCCTAGTGCATCCTGAGAAGGTGTTTGGGGTGAGGTTTGGGGCGGTCCAAACACCTTCTGAGGAACGACTGGAGCCCTAGAGCTGGACCCTCATCTTCCACGATGTCCACCAGCCACGCCGCTGATCGCCACGCCTCGAAAAAGCTCCTCTGCCGACCGCTTCGTGGACGATTCGCTCGAGAGCGCTTCCTTCTTTCGCTGGACGAAGTAAAGCCCAGTGAGGAGGAACAGGAAGAAATTCCTCGGTGAAGTGTTGCGGCCAAACGAACCATATCGAACTATATCTATGGAAAGGCAGACGGTCCAGTGGAAGAACCCAGCTTTCGGGACCTCAAAGAGGTGGTGTTTTGGTTGGATGATGTTGGATGTTTTTGGACATTCCCATCAAGAGAACTGGTTTCTGGATGTGCACACTCTAGTCACTAGTCTGCAATGGCTAATGGTCTTGCCACGTTTCCAGCTCCCTTGCGTGAACCACTCCTGCCGTCTGACGTCTGAGGATCGGAAAGCCTTCCTCACGAGGGAGTTCCTTCTCATTCCTCCGCGTGAAGTCTTTGATCTTCATGGCGAGGCCTTTCACGGACTCGTCCTCCAGCCACCTGGTGAAATGACATTGAACCTGGACTCGATCTCAATGATCTGAGCTCAATACACCTTGACACAAGTCTACAATGAGTCAATGAGAGTCATTAGAGATATAAGAGATCTTGTCAAAGTGGTGTCTGGTGTGGGTCTGATGAAGGCTCCATCAAAATCACGCGAGATGTGTATGTGCTATTTCCCCTTGCTACTCTTCAAAGGACATGGTTTTATTGGTGAGAAGACTTATCCCCCGTGACTCTCTCCATTGGGATCTTGACCCCTCCAGCACTCCAAATCGCACCCCAGATCCAGTCTTCCAGTCTTTCACGTGCAAGTCTGACATCATCGATCCCCACCTTCGGATGAATTGATCCTTGGCCAATGCTTCTGGATCCCGACCTCCTTCCACCACATCCAGCTCGACTTGGCCACATCGCAGCCGCAAGCGTGGCACTCTGGCAGAGGCCACGTACTCCACCAGCTCCAGAGGGCACCCTTTGGAGCTACGAAGCACCTGACAAAGTGGGATGGAGGATCTCGAGAGCCCTTTGAAGATATGTACTCCCCTGCAGATTAACATGGAACCCCAAAACCACTGGATTGTAGAGGAAAATGGTCTTCCACCGGTCAATTCTCAGGTTCCATCTTATTTTGCGGGAGGGTAGCAAATCTGTGGGAATCTGTTGCATGGATGCATGGCAGTATGAGATTTTGACCTCTGTTGCTCGGGCATCTCCTGCCCATCCAGGCACATGTGACAATTAAAGTAACTAAAACTCAAACAAACTCAGCGTGAGACCAAATAAAACACCAGCGGCACCAATGAAATGAATGAAAACGAAGAGGAAGGGCGTTTAGACTCTCATCATGCTGGTCATCCGGGCTATCGGATCTCTTGCGCCCGTCCTCTCGCCGGCATTGTGCACCGCGCCCCGCCCGGCGGAGCCCGGCATTGTGCACCTGGAGGAGCTGCACCAGCGGTTTGGTGGTGAGCAGATCCAGATCCGAGCGCTCATCCCACAAGCCCAGCGCATGACTCCTAGCTAGGTCGGCGAACAGGTTCGGGATGGAGGGGACTATAGAGTGCATGATCTCATTGGGTCCAAGAGCGGTATACTGGAGGTGGGTCATATACCAAAACATTGCTGCAGGAGAGGACCAGGTTGTACTTGGTCTTTGGACCTGTAGAGCTTGTAGGGAATGGCAAAATGGATACTCAGACCTGACAAGGAGGCGGAGGGACATGTTCACCATGGTCTTCAGAAAAGAACGGAAACTTGATTGGGTCACGCAAACACCACATTTAGACTATTCTTGGCAATGCAATGAGTGCATATGACTAGGCTATCGGTGCAGCAAACACCCAAAGCATCCCAAAGCTATATCGTACTACGATGCCATATCCACTTCTATCGCACACTCCCTGCAATTGCCGCGCTGGTCACCAAAAACAAACCCGCACTGGCCGCTGCCATTCCAAGGTTCCCATGCACCTCTGCCTCCGGGTCTAACCGGCGAAAGGCCTCACGGTCCCCATGGTCTGAAGATGACTCGGGATCGTTTTCTCCAAAGGGCAAGATCTAGCAGCAGGGCAAGATCTCCAGATGGTCTCCGAAGGGTAGAATCACTTCGATAGGTACGGCCAGGTTCGCTGAAAGTTCACCATCAGTCATATCAAACGGAGTTATTGAAAAGGCCATGGAACATGAAACTACCTTAACAACCTCTCTCACTGCAGAAAGAATGCAGCCTTCCATTCCACTGGGGCTAGCGCTAGCTTTTGTCATGTCAATCACAAACAGCGAAGGAAACACACACAAAAAAAACAACTCATGACCTGCATAATAAAGTTGTCCGGCGAGCCAAGCTTCTATTCTAGCACTGGGAACTGGTTATATGATGCTATACGTCCCATCACTTGTTCCACACTCCCGGTCGACTTTTCTCTCCTCTTTGGTGGCCTAGCACATCCACCGAGAGGTTCTGGTAACCACGAAGGCACGAAGGTGGACTTCGCAGCTGGCGTTCGCCATCGTGTTTCCATGCACTTCATCAACCAGCTCAAGGTCAGCCCATGGCAATACATGATGAACATGGACCACCCGAGCAAATCCCCCCACTCACGGCCTCCAGTGCCGGTGCCACATGGGGCGCGACGGCCACCACGCACTCCGCCGATCCATCGCCATCGCTGCTGTCGCTGCTATAGCCCGTGAGCAGTGAGGCAGTTTTGCCATGAGCCGTTCTGGGGCGCTTGGCCAGTGCCATCGAAGTGTGGGAACGCGAGCAAGAGTCTGGAAGGCTATGAAAGGCTTAGGTTCAATGATGTTCAATGCATTGAGGGGTGGTATGGTGAACGAAGGAAGTACGATTGAACATTGTTTAACACGCAAACTGGTGGAAATCCAAGAGTGACATTTGATAGAACATGCTCCAATATTAATCTGTGTCATTCTTTCTGGTGTGATAATGTGTTGCCGCCTGCACGTATCACAAAGCCCAAGGAGGCGAAGTGGGGCGAAGCAGGTCTCTAGGAAGATGTCTGGTCGGCTTTTCTCCCACCGGCCGGATTGGGAATGTGCTAGGGCAATCGTTTCTGGCTTTGCCCTAAGAAGTGACATTCACTAAATATAGAGTGGTGAAATGATCGAAAAATGTGGGAAGTCTTATGTTTGATTCTTTTCCATGGATCGAGTTGATCCCTTGATGGGTGCTTGCTCCACTGACAGATGTCCTTCATTGAGCCCGCAGCACACAAGAAGCCAACTAGAACAGATCATCTTAGCGATCGCGAGATTGAGCCTGAATTCCTATGCCCTGACCTTGCATGGGACTAAGAAGACCGCAAGGCCTTAAATCTGTAGGACTTGGAGGTCCAATAAGGCCTTCACCTGCCAACTGATTCTGATGGGTTCTAGATAGTTCTGGTCTGTTCTTCCTTTGGCCAGGGGTTTGGGTCGGGCGCATCCTATTAGTCTCATGTCTAATACAATCTACATACAACCTGTTTCAACTGCGCCAACCTCGTCTGACAAACCACTGGAATTCCACCATCTGCTTGAACTTCGGGGTGGCCGGGTGGCCACCGAAACATATGTACACAAAATGTATCCTCCCCACACTTTATACAACCCCCAGGTACCGAACGGGTCCTCCCGACGAGTGGACATTCCAAACACCATTTTCCGCGCTGTACAATGCGTCGCCGGTCACGAAGGCCGCTTCCTGGCGGGTTTGTGGCGGAAGCCCAAAGAAGTCCATGAATCTTGGGAGGAAACAACTGGTCGGAATGGGAGGGTGAAGCCCCTTTAGCCCAATTGAACAAGAAACACAGGACAGCAATTAATCAGTGCAATTGGACACAATAATTAGTTACTGTCTACCAGTAGCCGCTAGCCTCTCTCCACAGGAATCTAGTGGGATATATATATATATATGGGATTGGAGGATGTGGACTTCTGTCGAAGGTCATTGGCTTTTCGCCCCCTCATCCATCCCACACCACCGGACATACTCCGACCGAGACTTAACAAACAGAAGGCATACTGTGACCAATCTGGTACCAGTGTAAAAGTCCCGGGCTCTTGAAATCTCACACCAAAGCTGGTTGGTGCTTTCAACTCACGAAGAATAGGAGAGTCAGTGGGATCAATCATCCCAAGTGGGATCAAGCATCCCAAGTAAAGGTTGAACATACACATCTCCAAAACCACCAAACACGTTTCAAAACCCCAAACTCAAATAAACCGTAACCCGACATCGACCGAAGACTGACGCGGACTCTCCCGGCGCGCCCGGCGCCCAAGCGGGATACAATGCATCCGACCTAGGGAGAAAGCGGTTACCGATCAGCTGGGGACGCCTTCTGGGATCCCCAGCAGTCGCAACAGAAACGATGGGGGTCAGCTGGCATTGGGTCCAAACCTGGAGCAAACCCTAGTGGGTTAACCTCCCTGGGAATCTATTCAAATCCATTCTATTATATTCTATTCATGTTCGGCGGTCAACCAGGGTCCCCCACAGGTTCCCCCTGTTTTGACCCACTGACACTCCCACTGACGCCCACTGACATATCTGCACACAGTCTGTGCTCACATGATCTCACATGATTGCTCTCCAACTTGGGAGAAGCAAACTTCAACTCGCTCAAGAAGCAAAGACCAAGCCCACCACCGACTTGCCGCTGGAAATGAAGCTGGACGCCACCCACCTGGCAGGTAGGGTGGGTAAGCATTCTGGCAAACTGCTCGGCAGCCACTTTTGTTTTAACGGATTTTGCGTGTTCAGGATGATCACTTCTCCTTCCCTCCCCTCCCAAATGAATCTGGAGTGCAGTGTCTCACAGCGTGATGTTGATTGATTGTGCCAGTTGCACCATGTTGCACAGTCAAAGAACTGATGAGCACTGCAAAACCTTGGCGTAGATCTAAGGAACAAGCAAGCTCTTTCCAAGATTGATCCATCTTTCTAGTGCAGCGGTTTGAGAGTTCATGGCCCAGACCTCAAGATGTCCTTGAGATAAACCACCTTTTGGGGATAGTGCCATGTACTCTTGAAACCACTGCAAATGATATTGCAAGTCCAAGTCAGGGAAACATCATGTCCTGCAGGGACCCCTGAAGTAAACAGCAAGGTGCTTTAGTGAACACTTCTTCAAGGGCGTGCTCAGTGGACCTTGGATGGTGTGAACGTTCTTGCTGGAATGGTGGGAGTAGTGAGTATATAGTGGCAGATCAAACTATTTGTCATATAGTCAAATTGTTTCGCAACAAACATCTTGACTTCTTGGAGTTGCATCCATCGGGTTGCAATGCATTCATGCTCTTCAATTGCCCTTTGCTGACAGTTTTCCCCTTATATAGCTACCGTACCCAAAGGTGGCATTCCAGCTCGAGAACTACGAGTAGTACAAAGTACAAATCGAACATGCGGATGTGTCGCTTGCCACAGTGGAGGATCCCAAAACGAATTGCGTCCCCTTCCTTTGCACGGCCTACGTTCATGGGATTTCCATGCCGGCCATTATGAGCCTTTTGACGCCTTCAAGCGGTGAAACCCAACGTCTGGACATTTCTGGACCGTTCGAAGGATGCGCCGAGAACTACGCGGCTCAGACGATTTGCCAAAGCTGCTGGATAGTCGTGTTCTCCTGACATCTAACAGCTCGATCCGGAAGGCATGTTCCTCCTTGCCAAAAGAAGTGAACCTCCAATACCCTCGGAGCCATCAAGTATATACCGAACAAGGCAGGGTACAGTGCGCATAGTGCTCAAGAAAGAGAAAGAACATAAACATACAAAACGTTTTAGAATGGAAATCACATGTTTTCTTGCAGAATCCACCCCCCCAAGTGCTTTGCCCCATGCCCACTGCCCAGTTAGAGCTCCGGTAGACGGCTCAGTCCAAAACCATGAGGCGACCGATCGAAACCAAACAGCTCAGTGGGCCACCAGTCTCGCCACTATAGGGCGACCTTTTCTCCTAAAAGGAAGTGGGCTTTTCTGAGTCTTGATGGGTCCTGTTCCTTTTCCTGGTCGCTGTTCAACTCTGCACCTATCCGTGGTGGCATAGTGTGGGAGATCTTCCTTCCAGCAATCTCATCCGACGAAGGGAAACAATGGCTCCTTAAGGCGCTCGACTGCGAGCCCAAGCCTGGGACTTGTGAAGTGAAGAGGCATTTCGGCGCACGTAGAGGGGTACACGACTGGTTCTTAACATGAACGTCACATGCAAGAACCCTCAGAAGCACCCTCTGCAAAGGTCCACCCTTTAGGTCCGCATAGCACAAGCTTTAATAGAACCTCTAGAAACTGATGGACTACCCCTAGTACTAGTACAGGAAGTGTTCATCTTACACACCCTTTCAGCAAAGGCTGCACATACATCTCCAAGCTGTACACCAGCAGCTGTGGTTCGTGCGCGCACGAAGCACAAAAGGTGTGGTGGATCTGGTCCAGCCGGCACAACACCCACCAGCTACCCGGTGGAGAACCCAGGTGGTTCAAGACTGGCCCAGGTGCATGATAAGTAAACATATATATTTGAAGACATGAGAAGAACGAACCCAACAAGCTCTATATATGGCCTCTGGCAAGGAATCATTCATCCCCTACCCCTACCTGACCTTGGAGAACCCACCCCAAAAAGTAGCAGCCAAGCCACTCATTTTTGAAGATAGGCTCTCGATCCAGTTCCTTCTCCCCATCAGGCCTCGGAAGAAACCACCGACGAACCGGCGACGCTTCGCTTCATTCATCGCTTCATCGCGGAAAAACATCCCGCGGAACAGGGGAGTCGAATTCACCACGGTGAGGGACTCAAGGATGCGTAAGGCATTATCGATGGGGGCTACTGGTACCTGCCAAACACACACACACACAGACAGAACCTGCTGCGTGCGTTAAACAACGTAATTACTATATATTATGTATATATATAATATAGTAATAATATAATATAATTGCATCTCTCTGTGTGAGCACCCCAAAGTCTCAGCAGTAAAGAACACATCGCACCAACCCTTCTACAATCGGTTCTTGATTAAATAAACTCAACAAACTTAACTTCAACCACAACCACTGACCACCCAGGGCCACTCAGCCTCCCGACTGGTACAGCAAGCAGGGCTCAATCTCATCACCCTCCATGATCTGCACATCATCCTCAAGGTAGGGCAAAGCTGATCACAAACAAATCAGGTCGGCCGGTCGGCCGCGCTCTGCCCTGGATGATCCACTGTGAATGCCTCCCAGCTCCTTGTTCTATGAACAAACTATGAATGAAATTCTCCGGGGGGGCCGGCAGGACCCTAGAAATCCAAGGATCAATGTTCCCTGGTCCTATTTGTGTCCCCAACCAAAATCAGTAAACGCCCTTGAATGATGTCAAGTACTAGGGTGCATGGATCGCGCCTTTCCGTTGAGTTTATCCAAGCAAACATCTGGAAAAAACAACTCAACAACATGCTCTGGTGACATGTATATTACATATTCCCTTATCTATATTCACACATCATGTATAACATCCAATCAGTTCTGATTGATGGTCTCTTTGAGTGTCATCCTCAAGCAATAGACTGCGAAACCTTTCCAGCCGTACTCTATATTTAATAACCCAAATCCAAGGATGCTTGACTCAAGTCCCAAGTAATTATATACTAACTTCTATGGAAGGTTGCACAAACTATCAGCAAAGGGTTCCGAGAAGCGAGGACTTGGGGACACCCGGTGGACAAAGAACCTCTCGCGAGCGGCACGAGTCCTCCTGTCGTGGGACGAAGCTCTGGTTGGGATCTTGTGGCTTGTCCTTCCAGCTTGAAGATGGATGCGATTGCCCTGGTCCACTCAATATGGACAACCATATGGAATCACAAAAGTTCCGTTTCTCATTGACCGCCTGTTCCAGTTCGCTACCTGCAAAGAATCATGGAAGTCTACACAGTGATCTACCCTGGACCCTTCGGCCTGCTCCCACAAACAAGATAAAGGCCTAATCAAATGTATCTGTATGTGTATATATAAACTCTAAATATACATATGATGACAAATTCAGCAATTTCAGGGAGTATATTTTCCTGAACCCTGGCTTTGGAGACAGCTTGAGTCACAGTAGACCATTGACTAGCTCCATGAAGATCCTCAGCTGACGGCGATGAACCAGGTTCAGAATAACATGAAACAAAACATAGGCCACTGCAAAGAATGTGTATACTCCTGTACCATAAAGTATGTGTGTGGGTTTGAGTTGTTTTTTTTGGACACGAATCCACTCTCCAATCACACACCCGATCGCACTGCATCATGCACTGTATCATGTGTATCTCATCTGCTCCATTCTGCTCCTCGAGGGTGTAATCCACCCCGAAGATCGGCGTCACGCTGAAGATCTTCCTCAGCCGAGCTCGAGACGGTGGGCCGAGCCGAGACGGTCCGGAATGTCGGGAAGCACCCAATGGTGCAGGGTCAACAAACACAACGTCGGATTCCGGACTCGAGGGCTTACTCATCTAGTACTCACCTACTTTAGGCTCAGCACATACATGTTTACAAAATCAATTTAAATTGTACGGTTTGAACGTGAAAAGGCTGGTTGAACCACTTCAGGCGGCCATTGACGACCTATATAGAAACTTAAACCCACGTCACTATCGTTTTAGCAACAACGAATTACCAGTATTGAACTGCCACCCGGAAAAAATATTACAAAATCTCCTGGCGATTCTGACAATGTTGCTCATGTTGGTTTGTTCTTTGTATTCAGTTGATTGATTTGTCTTTGTTACTTTGGTAGATGTACGGACTTCACCTCTCAGAATGCTACAATATCCCTTTGACCTTCTTTTGTTTCAATGCCCAAACTGAAACTGAGCCGGCGCAAAAGCCAGCTTCTGAACAAATGGAGCGTAGCTACACCCACACCCAGAGAGGAGAATCATGTCGTAAAAAGAAGCACCTGGTCCAAAAGAAATGCCGGTTCTCACAGACTTAATAAGCCAGTGCTTGCATGAATGGACCAACGAAACAAGCATCTGCGACCAAGGATCCAAAGGTTGTGGATCTGAGTGTAGACCTGCCAGATTGCTGACTTGGGTTTTGCTGTTTTTGTGGCGATTTCTTTCCAAACCCGCACCCAGGAATATCAACGAATGGCTGGGCTGCATTTTGCCACTCCCAGGTGAACCCTCCATGTCAGCAACACACACCTTTCGTGCCCGTGGAGAAGGATTGTTAAACCTCACCTGGTGCTGATGAGACCCACACCAACCAAGCTGACGGGTGCATAAGAATTCGGCAAGTCCAATCCACCAGATCAACACCAATACCAATTAAGCTTCGCCTGGACGGGATTCGTACTATACACTGAGGTTGGATCCGGTTCTATTTGGGGACAGGGAGGCCCACCCTGCAGCAGAACTAGTTGATTTGATGATGCTCCCAATAATAAGAAACACATATTTGATCGAACCATATTGTTCTTGCCTCCGCTCCACAGCTTCGTCAAAAAAAAACAAGGCGGGTGCCCTCTTTTCAAGTTGCCCAGTTGCCCTTGCATAAGCAAACTGGAGAGGACTTGTTTGGCATTGACGGCAGCAAGGTCGTTTCAGGTTGAGAATTCTCTCATTCAAGAGATAATACTGGATTGATTACATGTCAATCTTGCCAAGGCATTACGCGTTGCCGATGTCCAAACCATGAGGTGGAACGCTGGCCA